TGCCTTCCTGCCTTCCTGCTTTCCTTCCTTCCTGCCTTCCTGCCTGCCTGCCTGCCTTCCTTCCTGCCTTCCTTCCTGCCTTCCTTCCTTCCTGCCTTCCTCCTCCCTCCCTCCCTTCATCTCTGTCTCTCTTGCTTTCTTTTTCTTTCTTTCTTGGCTTTCTTTTTCTCCAGTCTTTTTCTTTTAATAATTGTCTCAAACCTGGATAGAGTCTTAAGATTCTAAAATTACAGGGAATTGGAGAAAATTAGATAAGAAAATTTTCACCTGCTAGCAATTTAAACCAAATTTGCTTTAGTTTCTCCTGCATATGTTAATAATAGGGCAAAGTATTGAAGGTTGGAAAAGACTATAGTTCTCTTTCTGCAGCAAGAGTCACATCTTTTATTTTCTGTCCACGATAGAAAAGAAATATTTTCAAATATATTCTGTTTAAAAAGGCAATTGTAGTATTTCTGGTTTTGATATAGAACTCAGCACATTTCTGCTTTAAAACTCAGCATGTTCAAAAATAGGTACTCTTATTGATTTGTATTTTTCAAGGTTGCTCAGCATGGTGTCTTTTTTTTTTTTTTTTTTCCTGTGCCACAACAAAAATTAAGTAACCACTCAAATTTCCCTCACAGGAAATAATTTACTGTATTTTGATATGACTTTATTCTAGTCTCAAAAGAAAGACCAAAGTGTGGTAAGTGCTGTATTTCCTATATGCTACCCCTGTACTTTTACAAAGATTCATGCAAGGATGCTTATTCTATGTGCCTATGTAGGCCTAACAAATGTGGGCTAGATCCTGTCATCCTTGTGCTAAGCAAAACTTCAGCCAATTCAAATAACTAATTTTAAATACGTTCCTATTTACATAGGACTGGCAGAATATAGTCCCCAGGATTTATAATTTGCTGTATACTCCAGTCTTACACATATAGATATGAAATTAATGGACCATGGTATGCTTAGAAAAATAACTGGAAATTCAGAATGAAGCAAAGAAACAAACCAACCAATAACAGAAAGAAAGAGAAATTAACAGGAATTAAGTCCCTTAGGCATCTGCCCAAGAACTAACACAACACAATCAGAAATTCAGAACATTTATTGCAAAAGCTGAATAACTAAATAATGTTGAACTGGCAAAGCAGTAACAAGGATAACTGGTTAGATATTTATTCTGTCAAAGTCATCAAACACCCCTCACAAACTGACGTAAGTACTGCAATAAGCAATGCACCCCTAACCCATTTTTAAGCCTTTTATACTGTGGAGGGGAAAAAAAAGTGAACTGCTATATACAAAATAATAAAGAGAGAAACAAAAAGGTTCTGTTTTTTGGTAAAAATAAAATCACCTTCAGATTAGCTAAATTTGTTACTTTAAGACTGATGTTTTACTGTGGCATAAGTAACTTGCTTTTTTCTGTAAGGACTTTATTTTTTTTTTTTGCATGCTATTTATTTGTGTAAATCATCTCTCATGCCTTAACAAAAACCACCTAAAAATGTTTTGGATTTGGATTTGCTTTGCGTGCAACTTAGATCTTACTAACGTTGGGAGTCACTCTGCTGATTTGACTGAGGTGACATGAAACTGGTACCTGCCAGGCATTGACCAACTATGATAACAAACAGTTAAACAGCAATAATTAGAGATTTAACCCTCTAGTTCCCCCAACTAGCCTACCAGGAGAATGCTCTGTTACATCATGAAGGCACAACACATTAAATATTCTGTGGCTATGTTCTAAAAACACTCGTGTTACTACAACGTTAACGCAGATGAAGATCAACACAAATGCTGCTGTTTCAGCAATACAAACTGTCTTGGGTATAGACACACACCTGCCCAACTGAAAAAACATTTTTATTGTATTTTGCTCCTGTAGAATATCCTCCACTTATTTCAGCTGGGATCAACATCCGCTACTACTCAATAAATGACAGACTATAGCTAATTAGATCAACGATCCCAAATAAATATCTTTCTCCCTCACCCACCACCATACATTTAATTATTATTTTGTTTTGCAATTTCCCTGTTTTATGAAACATAATGGAAATTAAACAAAAAGTTTCTAAGTTTTTAAGCCCTTACACAAGTCCTTTCATTTCTTAATATTAAATTTAAATAAAAGAAAAAAAGAAGAAATTCTAACTGAATGCTGGCATCATTTGCTACTACATAGAAAAAAGGTTTTATTCCTTTTCTACAAGCAACCTTTCTTCCCACCTCATCACTCTTTTCACTTTTAATTCAAGTTGCTTGAGTTTCTTGGAACATTGTGTGTCAGACAGACTACTAACACAGAAACACCATCACTGAAAATAAAAGCAAAACAACAAGAAAGCAAATGAAAGAAATTAAAAAGCAACTGTGAAACACAGAAATATGCTACAGTATCTTTTCAAGTGAACATTATAAGTACACAAAAATTGTAAGTAGTAACTGTTGCTATTTACAAGTATTTGAACGCTGATTGACTTACAAGTGTCCACTAACATTGTTAATAGCACAATAGGTTTAATGTTTACAGCTTCAATTGTTTGCAATGTGATCTCAAGTATAACGGTCCCAGCATAGATCAATGACAACAAAAGCACAATTTTCTAACTGGATATGCTTTTCCATCTTTTCAATCCACTGAGCTTTCGCACTCTCGCTCTCCAAATGCATCTTCTGTTGTTCATAGCAGCAGTCCAGGGTCAAAAAACAAAGAAATAAAAAAGGATATTTTCAAACTGGAGAGATCTCTGCAGATTTTAATCATGTCTATTTAAGAAAACCACACAACTAGTAGAAACACTCTTTCATGTTGCAGGACATCATACCTTCCACGGTGCTAACATTAAGATATGCATATCTCTGCTAGGTGAAGCATAGTTCTAGAGGTCTACCCAGTACATAAAGCTCTGACACACACATAGTATTAGCAAGTCTAAGTAAGCTAAAGTCATTGGTCCAAAGTAACCATTTCTTATAGCTGGTGCTCCTTTGGACTCTCCACAGATCCCGGGGCCTGTTTATAAGACTTCAAGTTGGCCAGAGGAATGTCAGTCATGTGGTTGCCAGTGTTGAAATGGCCCTCACTGGAACCATACTGCTTTCGATCACTGAACTGGTTTCTGTTGCTATCTTCTTTCCAGGTCCTGGTCAATGTGTGCCCGTTAACCAGTTTGTCCTTCTTAACCCATTCTTTCTGAGGTGCAAAGGTGGAGAGAGGAGACTTTGGCTGCTGGTATGGGCCCAAGCTAGGAGGCATCCAACAGTTGTCTGAGTGACCCAAAACCAGGCATTCTTGAGTACACATCTCTGTAGCTTCAGCTAATCCTCGTGGACCAAGAGGCCCATCTGTAGAAGAAAAACAGAGAAAGAAAAAAGGGAGAGAAAGGGGGAAAAAAAAAGATATAATATTAGATTGTGATATTTGTCATTAAGCTTATACATAGACCTCAGGTGAAAATTAACACTGATCCTGCAGCCAAATATTGTGCTGGTAAATTCTACATACATTTTCATTCTGTTAGAGAGCAGCCTTTATATGTTACCTACCTGGTTTCCAGGAGTGGAAAAACAGTTCAATTATCCATATGCTATTGGTCTTGGATTGTATTATGAATAAACTTAATTCCTTTTTTAAAGTCATACCAAGAAAACAAAGCTAGGTAAGTGAAAATGTCCAAGGAAGTAAACCCACCCTTGCGGATTCTGAGTGAGAATTAATGCTTATAAGGGCCTATTATTTGGATGTATTCTGCTCTGCTTTCAACTCACTTTACTGCTGAAGAACCTTGGTGAATTACCAGGCTACTGCAAATTGAGAAACATCTGTACTATCCAAAAACAGGATTTCCCAAAATAATGTTCTATACACAGGATTATTCTAATGTCTACTGTTTTAAAAACATAGCTTGATGCATAGTTCTAAGTATCTACGCACTGGATGCACACTCGAGTGCATACTCTCAACAAGTAACAGAAAAGTTAAATTTTGCTTGATTTAAGAAAAATTGCAGGAAACAGTTCAAAACATTGCATCAGGAAAGAGAATAAAATCTATAATTCTTCTGATCATTAAACACATCTCAGATGCTATACAACCACTAAAGCAAAGAGGAAAAAAAGGCTTATGTAAATCTGGCACTTTAAAAAGAACTGTTCTCGTAATTCTTTGTAAACTAGAAATATAAGACCACAGGGGACAGAAATTTATATTCCTTAAGTACTATGCATATTAAATATCTACATATTTTTTCACACACTATTGAGGACACAGCTGGCCAGCTGCAGGCTTCTCACAATCAAGCAGACAGGTCACCCATGCCTTCAGCAGCACAAAACTCCTCTCAGTCTTACTGCATTTTTAAATGGCTTAATTTGCTCATCTGCTCATGCTGGATGTATGAGGAAGGGCAAGCCAGGAAAAAGGTGGAGAAATCACTTAATGAGATTTTGTTAGATATATCTGGTATATGCTTTGCCAGGAGTAATTGCTGTGTTGTAATTTTGAGCAAGGATTTTGAGATGTCTTTTCTTCACTTTAGAGTAAATCAACAGGCTAGTACTGAAAACATTTGAAGAATTAAGGAGACATATTCCCTTGATTAACCAGCCCACTGACAGGAAGGAAATTATAGATTGATTTTTCAGAAAGAACATTAGCAAGTAGGCATGAATAGCAAAGTTACTAATCAGAAGAAAAACGTCAGCAGTGTATCAGAAAAAACAAGTGTATCTTAATAATAATCTGAGACTCAAAATGATAAGTGAAGACACTCTAACAAAGATTTCTGTGTTAAAATGCCAAAGAATATTTTGTTCTCTTGTACTCCATGCATATACAACAAATTACCCTTACTAACATCTTTTTCTGAACACTGAAATTAACTTAATTAATTTTATGGAGACTCCTATTTATTTCCCACTGCTTTTAAACAAAGATATTAAAAAAAAAAAAAAAATCAGGCATTTTTCTACATGTTGCATTAGTAATTAGCTGATATTTTTATCTCTGACCAACACCTCTTTTTGAGTATCTAGACAATATATGCTATTCTGTTGATCTGACAAAATATAATAAGCTATAATAAAATATAATAAGCTATAATAAAAGTTGTTACTGAATTCCCCATATACAAAAGTGTCCCATTGATGAAAACTAAAACATGAAAAATGTATAGAATCAATGCTACTTTCCACTTAGGTCAATACAAGGTGAAATAATTAAACCAAAACCATTAGGAAAAAAGCAAAAAGCAAAAGTAAAGTAGGATCTTAGCAGAGATTTCAATGAGAACCATGAACCATAATTCTAAAATTAGACCTGAAAGAGAAGTGTTTTGGAATCCTCTATTATGGAGTTCTAACTAAACTGAGGCAGGTACTTAGAGAGAAATAAACCCAAAGCGAAACAATTAGAAGTAAGGAACAGGCTCACAGTACATTGTTACCTTTTCCAAAAGTTAATCTACAGGTAAAAGCTGACTTGTTAAATTTATTTTTTGGCTGTCAACTAAAGTTTAGTTTTAATTAGTCTTCTTCCCGTTTCAGAGGAAAAATGGTGAGAAGTGTCAGAACTATTTTCAACCTGCGTACTCTCCCAGTAATCTACTATTTTAGTGATGAAGAAAGAACAAAAGGTTTTACAGCATTAAAATTCAAAATAGAAAGAAAACGTTTCTCCACAGAATGACACTTTCCAAGAAGGACACTACATGCACTCTGTGCTTCCCATCTACAGTGGAATAAAAGGGTAACAGGATAGCCTTCAGGATGATAGTTCTGAAGGGGATAGGTTACTTTTTCTGTTTAGTTAAATAAATTTCAAGAGATAAGACTACCATTTCAATTTAAAATTTAAATGAGCAATAAGCTGGTTTTATTTCAGAATAAATGTGCATGTGGCCCTACAAGATACATGTCAAACTCTCTGGAAGATTTACTTCATGTGTTTTGCTTTCTTTAGTAACAGTGCTAGGCAGTTAATGCTGTCCAATTCGGAATGAATTTTAAGCATCCTTCGCTTTTGCTATGTCTAAGCTGATAGACTTTCTGGAGAGCACTGGAATATTCAGATATCTGCTACTACTGTGAGCCTCAGACAGGAATGGGGTAACAATGCTGAGAGCGTGTGCAAGAGCTGCTCTTTGGGGTTTTTTCCAGTTTAACAAAATGTCACTGTCCAACTTGGACCTGGAAAATTAACTGTTGTGTGCTAGTCTTCCCCCAGCCAACCTTCCCTATGCAGAGATATCGATCAAAGGTGAGACCATGCAGTCCTTATAGCAGCCAATTACAATTTTTATATAGATACTGGTCACACCAGCTGATAGCTGTAGACAGAGTGAGACACTCTCCTTTTAGGAAAGGACTGGGACTCTCAGGGACCACCTGAAAGACACTTCTTTTAGCTGTATAACTGTTCAAATAGCTGTGAGGAGTGTTACAGACTGCACACACCTCTACATATGCCTGTATGTAAGAATGTCCAGAACTGAGAAGAAGTTCAGACTCCTACTCGAACGTGTATGCATATTTTCCAGTACTCTGTCTCATGCTTTCCAGTCTGTCAAATACAGGTAATATTTACTTGCCTTACTAAATTATTGTGAGGTTTAAGTTTACAAAATGCCCTACAAGACTTCATCTAATATATAACTAAGAATTACTATTTTAATTACTTTTGGTTTGAGCCATCTCAAGGGAAAAAAAAAAATCCACGAAGTAATTTTTTAGAAAAGTAGATTTTTAGAATAATATATTTCACTCTTGAGCTACTTCAGGGAATGGTCATGCTTACTCAATAATGGGAATGCTCATTATTTAGAAGATTCTACAAATTTCTTAATGTGAGATCTGAGAAAAAGATGAAAAGGAAAAAAAAAGGGATCTCACCTACCAAAAAAAAAAAAGAAAAAAAGACTGTTTTAACAATTAGATGCTTGAGTTTCTGGTTTCTGTTTCATTTTATTATGTTCTCAATCATAAAATTTATTCTTTTCTAAAACTCTTTACTATTCAGTTTTCTATCTGGCAGCATAAAGTATAATGATCATGAGCAATATGATAGGAGGGAGATCTTCTGGGGATGGTGTGACAGAAGAGTTGGCTGCTATGTATTGAGAAAGCCATAATGTTGCCTTAATGGTAATTATCTTTCTCCTCCACCACTGCTGAACAATAGTTTTCACCCAATTTTCTAAAGTTGTTTCATTACCGCATACAATGACACCACTTAAAAACCTGTTCCTGCTGCTTTAATTTTATAATTGCATTAATTTGTTTCCTTTCTCTTCACAAAAATGTCACTGCAATTTCTGTATCAAGCTTTTCCATACTGAAGTACTTTATTGATATGTGGGGGATTTTTCTTCCAAAGTATTTGTTCTCTGAACAATCCATAATCCATGCGACTGGTTATCAGTCTTGGCTGCTTGAATACATAATGACACAAGTGCTGATAAAACTGTACAAGCCATCTGTCTCTGGAGTTAAATGTTTTGAAAGCAAACACAAAAGTGCATAACAAACACTCCCTTAAATTGTCTTTGTAAATATTTATATCAGATTTTACCCAAAAATGCTTTTATGTTGTTATTTTATTCTGTTAATAGCTGTCAAGCAGATGCATGTCTTGCCTACTCAAAAGCAGACAGGTGTAAGAAGGAAAATAATATATGCCACTCAAGAGCTGGTCATACCCTTGTGCTGGAATTTCTGTGTGGTCTTTTATCTATTTTTATTATACCCAGAAGCTAAACAGCTATTTCATTGATTAACTTACTGCTGCAATTAGCAACTAGCTTCTGGTGTGATGACCAGCTGCTTTTCAACCTGCTTCTTTAAAACTCTCTTGCTTACAGCCAGAAAATTCATTCTTCAGTTCTAAAAGAGTTGAGGAAACAAGATAATTTCCACTCAGTGAGACTTTTTGATCTCAAGCAACATGAATAGGTACTCTTTGCCTCAGGGCGCTAACATTGAGTACAGTGGATTTGAACATAGCCGCAGTTGTATTTCAGACAACCATATTTATTTAACTTTTCATATTGCATCTTAAAAGCGAAAACAAAACAAAAGCAACATTTTCAGCTCTACTTATCCTCAAATACAGAAAGCTGGTTTTTTTTTTTTTGGTTTTTTTTTTCTTTTGAACTTTCATGGGCTACTTTACTAAATTACCTTCTCTGAGATCTCATGATTTTACAGCCTCCTTACTTATATTGGAACTGAAATTATATTATTTCATTTCATAGAGGTTTTACAACCAGTCATATATTAAATATAATAGCTGGAAAACAGTTTATAATTAAGAAGATTATTTTCACTTTTTTTTTGCTCTTAAGTATCAG